GTCAATCGGAGACTGCTATGAAGATTTGCAAATTTCTTGGAGGGCCATCCTAAGTGCTCCCGTGTCATCTATCCCGGTCTTGAGTCCCATCCCCAGCATGAGCTTGCCAAGAAACTTCATAGGTGATGCTCTCTTTGATTAACGGCCCCCATCTCACGATTCATCAGGGGCAACCTTCATGGGGGGATGCTCTGGTTCGAGGTCGCCGGCGGGCGTGAATCTGGTAACAAGTTGATGAATTCGATCCAGGCGAGTTGGAAGCGACCTCCGTGAAAGCAGATTTCCTTCTCGTTGCAGCGCCCTTGGTCTCTATGCGCACATCTTGGCCCTACGGAATCGATTATGACCGCTTGTGCAGTGATGACCCATGCCAACATGTTGCCTGAGGATAGGCTCAGGTTGGGTATTGTGGATGGTTTCATTCGAGTATCAGTTGGAGTTGAGGTGAAGATGTTTACTCGTCCCATTATGGTAACTCGGGCTCCTTCCTGCTTAGGATGCCGAAGATCTCATCCGCAGCTTGAAAACGAGCTTAGATCAATTATGAACGCTTCTTCATGTTAACTTAAAGCACACCCTTCGTGTTGTCTTGACCATGATGGGACTTCTGTTTCGAGGGTGCCTAAGTCATTGTGTTGTGTTGTCAGTCGAAAACTTGAGGACCCGTATTAGAACCCCCTAGAGGCAGCTGCTCAATTGACGACAGACTTGTCCACTGTTCGTCACTGCATTGACCATATCGACTTGAATTATTTCGACATCCTCCGCGCCATTGTCAGTTCCGATATAGGATGCAGTTTCGTCAATGAGTTATGACAGCATCCTTTCGACAGCTCCTTGTCGACAATCTTCCCCGACACCTCCCGCGCAGCTGTCAGTTTTGATAACTGATCTCTCGCCAATTCATCACGATAACATACTCCCAACGACTGATTATCACATTTGAATCTTCCCGTATGAGGGAGCGACCGAACTTCGCTTTGTAAAAACTCCAACGACTAATAGGATCTACAAGTAGCGCCTCTTTGCCTGGAATGGGGACGTGGGTTCCCCCCTCTACCTGTGTTTTATCTCGACTGATACGTGTAGTGTTTGCTGCTTGTCCATCTTCATTTGAATGCCTCCGAAGCATCACAAGCCGATCAAAGCCAAGGCTGGTGCCGGCGAGGATCAGTACGCGAACAGTAGTATCGGGTTTGCCTACGTTCACCTTACTCAACAGGACACGGGGGGAGGGGGTGAATTCTGGACATAGCACTTTGCGAGGTCGTCATAGATGTGACTAAAACTCTCGATTGCCTCGCTACTGCATGCCATCCCCAAGTAGCCGAACCCGAGGCTCCCTACTATTGGTATCGGGCTTATCGTATCAGATTTCTCCTACGGAGCTGCAGCCTACGCATTCATAGACAATTTCATTCCCGCCTAAGGACACTTCATGGACAGGGCCAGCCGAGGGGCCAGCACTACGAACAAGGAGAAGTGGCGTAATAAGCCTATGATGACCATGGGCATGAACAGAGCACGTAGTAACCAGTTGGGATCACTATTGCCGCGGTACCCTTTCCCTGAGGTAGGCGGCATTAAGAATAGACGACAGATGAGGGCATCAGTCAAGTTGGAGGCCCTGCAAGCTCATGCGCGGATACTGGAGAAGCAAGTCCAGCCACAGAAGGGACGACGAAAGTAGGCAGTGCTGAAGGATAGGATGAAGTTATGGTATGAGCCATGCACCTCCAGTGTATTCATCACTCCCTGGCTTCCGACTGACATCCATTGTAACGTACGTTTCTACCTACCACTACTACTACTACATCACGTCCCACGATTAATAATGGCATACGTTGTGAGTGAGCTTGGAAGACCTGTGTGTTGAGTGCATTCATTGGGTCAATTAGGCGTGGAAATATCTTCTTGCTTTCCTCGGCAGTAGTCTTATTGACATTACTCAGTTATTATTCGTGGTGTGCTCCTGTTAAGATTCTTCTGCCCTGGTGTCGTTACGCTCTTCTCAGGAGCTCTGCTGTAGTTCTCTCTGGGAGTTCTCCCTGGGCATTGCCTTATGAACTACTCGAGGATTACCTGGACCCTTCCAAGTGGGTGACAACGTCTGTAGTGAGCTCGGAAACCGTAGGCCACGTTGGAAGGTTCTTCGTAGGCAAGGCAAGGGATGTTGCCGTCTATGTCTCTCCCACTGCTTTCAAGCGTATTTGACGCCAATACGTGAAGGATTGAGTCAGTGAAGTTGCTCACTTTGCTGAGCTTGTCTACATTCTCAAAGAAGTAAGTCGGGCTCCACTGCCGCTGATGTGGATTTGTACTAATCGTTCGTCTTTCGCCCTCGATCTCGATGGGCTCCCCTGTTCGCTCTCGCCATAGCGACACCAGTGATCTACCGAAGTCCATGGTGATCTCTGGCTGTAATTGAACGGAGTTAGACAACACGTTTGACTGCAGACTAAGGGGAAAGCCATTCAGAGTCTCTGTGATGAAGGGGTTACGCTTCATCAGCACTCAATGGTCGCCCTTCCGCCTCTCAACGCTGAGCAAAGAGTTCTGCTATTTTTCCTATTCGAAGAAGAACTGCTTATAGAAGTAGTCGCAGACCGTACGCCTCGTTGTACAGGTCTATCGAGCGGCATTGCCCTACAGAGGCGATCGTGTGAGGGCCCGGGTCATCTCTGGCTTCAACTCACTACTGTTCCCTCCACTGAGATGTATTATATGCAGCTCCTGATTAGTAGCAACTGGAGCCTCTGGTGAAAGGGAAAGTTAGCTCGACAGAGGAAGAGAAGTACTCGGCCTGGGCGTAATACGAGGGGGTGGGGGATGTAACCAATGATATCCGGAAGCATTCCATAACAAGCCATCCCGACTTTGAAGTTAGCGCGCGCCCTGAGTCTGACATGTCCACGCTGTCGTATCCGTAGGCTCCTAGGATTCCCCAGTTGCGGCGCTTAAAGTAAGGTCTTTGAATGCTGAGATCTTCGAGTAGTGGATATATCGGTGATTTTCGAGCGGCATCCTATTTCCATACCATAAACTGTGCATCATCAGAGTGTTTGTTTTGATGCCTTCTCGAAATGTCTAGTCTCGGTGTTGGTGGCATTAGCTATGGTGGAGGCGCTGGAGGTATTCTCCTAGCTGCTGGCTACAGCGAAGATATCAAATTCTACGATACGTTCACCGGGGAGATGCTGAAGACTATCGGAGGCCCGGGCTCGAGAGTGCCAGGTGTCGAGGGCGTGGGCTTGCCAGCCGGTAGAATACCCCCATCCCGTTCACTGTAACACCGAAGTGGCTGTAGGTGCAGCCCAGTACG